GAATGAGAAATAAAGAAAGTTAGAGAGAGAGAGCGATCGTGACTTGAATAAATTTCAATATTAAAAACAAAATAGATTTTTATGTACAATAATCTTGAGATGGACAGAGATGAAAATATTGTAAATAAATAAACGAAAACATGAAATAATTTTAGTGAGCATCTGGCGGTGAATCATTTTTTTCCCCTCCATTTTATTTATGAAATTGTTGCAATAATGATACCAATTTATATATGGATAATGTAATGTGGCAAGTTCACCTTATACATGTATTGTTTACTTACACACGTGCTTGTTTTACGTGAAACCTGTTTACGATTTGAAAATCTATACACACATTTTTAAATTATATGTAGTATTAAAGCTAAAGTTGTATACCTTAAACAAATTGTTGCTTTCAGTCTCAACTTGGTTATACGTTCACCGTTCTGTCGAAACGCAATATTTTTTTAGCAGGACATCCAAACAATGATTTCCACCCCATCCCCACAAATAAAAGGCTTATGGGGGATGTGATGGTCAGCCCGGCTTGGTTGACGTGATGATCAGTTCGATAGGTGGCTTTAGGATTTGACAGGATCGTCGAAGGGATGACATCGAGCTCGTTCCGTATTCGACTAGAAATACCCAATGCTGTAACGACGACAATCCAGGCTCTCCATGATGTACAAGATAAATAATGGTCTGGTCCACTGTTCCAGTATTAAACAGAAACTCGTCCCTCTCCCCCATAGACAGCGACGAGGCCATGACAGGCCATTCAGGCTCATACCAGCAAGAAGCCAGTATAGGAGCTGCTCATTCCTGCCCAAGACAATCAGGGACTGGAACCATCTTTCAAAAGGAACGGTTGAGGCGACAACACTAGAAACATGTGTGTCTATTGCCTCAAGCCTTCAAACCCCTAGTGCATGATTTCCTCACCACCACCAGTAACAGAAACATTGCAAATCCCATCTACATGCATAGGAGCCAAAATGATCAATAAATTGATCATGGGCCCTTAAGATATAGAAGAAGAAGAAGAAGAAATATTAAATAATAATTCCCTATTGACGCCGGGGCCCCTGAAAATTTCTATCGGATTTTAAAAATGGCTACATTTTAAAATTTAGCTTGAATATTTAAATAAATGATTTTTATAGAGTCCCCATCAATAGGGATAACTCAATGGGCTCTTTATAGAGTGGTTCCTGTCGGGGAACCTATTTCATTTTAACCCAGAAAGAGCCATAGCTTTGGCTTTGGGGAATACCTTTTTTAAAAATGTAAAAATTTTAAACTATATAAGTATAGACTTCCAGAGTTCCTTCCTTTCTCTACAACAGGCCTGTACAACATACGGCCCGCGGGCCGCATGTGGCCCGCCAGCACCCACTATGTGGCCCGCGAGGTAACGAAAAACTCTTTATTCTTATTTTTTTCTAAATAGCCTCCCCCCGACCTATATATATATACCTGGCCCAGCTTGAGTATTAGTTGAAACACCCTTCCTGTCGCTCTCGGAAACAGCCAGACACTGGAGTCCTACAAAACCGATTTGAAAACACATCTTTTTCGCAAACACCTGCTGGGGTGATGTTGTCTACCATCTTTTCCAGCTAGATATTATCTCCTAGACGTATATTGGCCCGTGTTGTTTATGGTTGCAAGGGATAAAAGACTTACAATGGGCATGCTCGTATGTAGTTTTTGTAATGTTGCATTTTGTATTCCCATGTGGCAAAATATAGATTATTTCATTTCTCTTTTACTATGGTTGACTTTGTACCGCGCTTCAAGATTTGGATATGAAGCGTGATTTTCAAATAAACTTTACTATTATTATTATTATTATTAACTGAGACCGAACAAGCCCTATATTCAATGTTTACAAGAAATTTTATAAACAATTTTTTTAATAGGACATTTAAACAAAAAGTTTCATTGGTTCCTTAGAAAACTGTTTTTGACCTGTACCTAAACTTACGTGTACGCTGATAATGTTTTAGAAGATTTTTTTTCGAATGCAAAGCCGAGCGACGCCTTCTGTATTGTCTAGTTGTTCATAGTGTTGAAACGCTATAGCAGGTACTTCATTTGGCTAGGGTAGGGTGGGCATCCCACCCTCCCAACGGGAATTTGCAGGTTTTATTTAAATTTGTATGTACTGTGGCGCCTCCAGTAATAAACAACTTTAACAGCCGAATGAGTTTTGGTTATGTCCCCCGCCCCCCCCCCTTCTGAAATGACGCCCCTGACCGTGAAATGACGCCCCTGCACTACAGCCGATCGCAGTCGATTACAAAAAGGTGTGCAAAAGAGCATAAGCAGACATTCTTTACAAAAAAAAATTGTATGATGCACTAAAAAGTGCTGGCGTTGAACGCGGCATTTTCATATTTTCATGCAGACACTATTCTCAGCGTGCCGCCATAACATCGTACCATAAAGTACTACATGCCGTTTGTTTACACCAAAGCGCCCCCAATCAGAGGGATTGAATCAAACCATTTCATTCTAGGAGATATCGAAAACATTATTTTTATCCATCATATAGCACTAGACATACGTATAATTTTATGATCTCCATTAAAAAAATTTTTTTTTAGTTGGATAGATATCAACATTAAGTTAACAAAAAGTAAGTATAATGCAGATTCAAGAAACCGCCAATTAAAAGGCCAAGGTGCCAAAAGAACTCCAAGCCATCAAATCGTAATGTTTAATATGCTAATCCCATACCAAGGTGTTTTTGAGTGATGCTAGATTGGTATGCCTACGAGAATTACACTAAGACAATGATACACCATGCGACTGAATACAATTGTTTAAAAATGAAATGAAAAAAAAAATCAATCTCATTTCCACCGAATCAATTTTAAAATTAAATAATTTAGCAAACAAAAAGGTTCAGCTGCCGCTGAGTTGTCGACATATTCCATTTATTGATTTCGATTGGTTCAGCTGCGAGAGGAAAGAGGAATATTGAAATTACGCAAGGACATTTTTTTGGAGCCTATACTCCTATTCCTCCACAAGTAAATGGGTAAGCCACAATTTATTTCTCTACTAAATGCGTGTTTGGAGTGTATTGCAAGTACAATTTATGCGCCTTTTTTTTGGGGGGGGGGGAATTAAAATTGAATTTGGATTTTAAAAAAAACCGTCTGTTTTCGCAGTAGCAGTAGATAGTAGCAGCAGTTTTTCCAGTTGAGTCACTCTTGCCACAGGAGATCAGAGCTTGTAAAAAAAAATATATATATAACAAACAAACAAATTTACTCTACACAGGAAGTGGTTACACTCTGAAACTAAGTGAACTTTTTTTTAAACGAACGTACTTCTAAACTCTAAAGTATGATGAATTAGATTTTGCCCCCAATGTTTTTTTTCTTTTAAGTACACACATTGAATGTACTGTTAAAAATTATTTTAAAATATCAAATATTTTTCAAAATATGTTTTAAAAAAAATCAAGAACCCTATGACTATAACGCAAGTAAGCAGTCGATTATGCGTGGCTATTTATATGTGGCTACTTATATGTGGCTACTTTTATGTGGCTACTTATATTTTCTTTTAGTGTAAAAAAAACGAGTTAATTAACTCCTATTTTATAATGAAAATGTTTGCCTATATTTCTGTTGGACAAAACAATACTTATAAATGTGGAAGAGATGAGGCGCGCACTGAGTACAACAACTGAATCGACAAATTTGAAGCTTGTTAAAGTAATTTCAGATGTAAAAAAAAAAAAAAAAGATTGAACAGTTTAGTTTTTCATTTGATTTTATTTCGTAGCAGCATTTCGTGATTTATACATACTTTTGATTCGCAACAAATATGGCTTTTGGGGGAGAACAAAAAATGAGTTTACCCACCCCTTTTAATGGGCAATGGATTACGCCACGAATACAAAAAAATAATCATACGAATTTTGATCAAGCCCAGCGCTGCATTTTTCGCAGATACATAGAAACACTGTCTGCCGAGAGCAGGACTTTAATTCAGGGCAACAAAGGGCATCCCATTTACTCGCTCTTAAATGCCAAAATGAATTCCATTTAAATGTTCTTAGTTCCATATTCTTAGTTTAATATTGTTAGTTCCATGTTATTAGTTCCATGTTCTTAGTTCCATATTCTTAGTTCCATATTGTTAGTTTCATGTTCTTAGTTCCTTGTTCTTAGAGTATGTTATAGTTTATGTGTTATTAAAAAAAATATTTAATGTTTTTGTGTGCTTATTTATGTTCTTAATTTATGTTCTTAATTTATGTTCTTAATTTATATTCTTAATTTATGTTCAAAATTTATCTTTTGGGGGTTTATTTTCTTAATCTTTAATCTTATTTTTTTTTTTATTTCCCGCACATCAGTCCAAATGCAAAGCTTCACAATGTTCGTTTGCCTTCTATGCCAACTAGGCGGGTGTTTGATTGCAGTGTGGCTTAAGCTGCTGAATTTTTATTTCCTCAGATGGACGCGGCAACGCCATGACTTACAACACCAGTAGTACATCCGGGCTCTGCCTCACGGAGGGCGTGCTCTTCGCCTTAAAATACAAGCGCCCGACCACTGGGCAGCATCGTGGGTACCATCGTTCCCAAGGTCTCACCTGGCCCCGTACCGAGGACTACGCGTCTGCGCCCACGGACCTCACCCCAAGCCCGGACCTCTCGGGCTGCCTCGGCGATGATCGTATCCCCGATGAAGACAACCTTGACCTTTGCCTAGACCGCGGAAACCATTCGATCTACTCCAAACAATGCGACCCGCCTGTCTCGTTGTCAGCCAGGCTGAAACGTTGGAAGAAGTATAACATCTCCCCCGATCGATACTGCAATCCCGTGTCCGTCAAGTCCAACTCGTTCGGCGTGCTTGTCGATTACTGCGGGGACGATATCTATATTGCAGAGAAGCCGGATAGAGCGTGCACCAACCTCTGCGCCTATGATGACTCTGCGGCGTCTCTCAAATATGTGAACAATTTCCACAGCAGGATGTATCACTTGTGCTCGAGGCGCCGGGTGAATATGTTGAAAAATATCGGTTGCTTCCCTTGCTACTCAACGTGTCCAACCTACACTACGCGGACCTGTGGGCCCCCGCACTGCTTGGCGCCCCCGCTCTGCAATCTTGGAACACGCTTTAAGTCCGTGCCGCAGCCCCCCGAAGTAAAGCCGGTCATTATTCGCGAATCGCTCAAACCCTACATACCACCGCCCCCTCAAGCGCATCCAGCACAGCCTCGCCCGTCCACCAAGTCCAGCAGCACCGCCACAGAACCGCCACCCCCTGAGGTGAACTCAGTCAGCTTTCGTTCGTTCCTTCAGTCCAGCAACACCGCCACAGAACCGCCACCCCCTGAGGTAAAATCGGTCAGCTTTCGTTCGTTCCTTCAGTCCAGCAGCGAAACCAACATGCCGACGCCCCCTCAAGTAAAGCCGGTCGGTCCTCGCTCTCCGTTCCCGCCCAGAGATGGTGTCAGCATACTATCACCTCCTCACGTGAGGCGTGCCAGAGACAGTGTCACCATGTTATCACCACCAGAAGTGATTCGAGCCAGAGATAGCGTCACCGTGTTATCACCACCAGAAGTGAGGCGAGCCAGACACAGTGACACCATATTATCACCACCAGAAGTCGGGCCAGCCAGAAGTGGTTTCAACGTGTCATCACCCCCAGAGGTGATGCCCACCAGAAACAGTGTCAACATATCATCACCTCCTCAAGTGATGCCGGCCAGCGTTCGCGCGTCCGTTCAATCTTCTATGAACTATCCATACTATCACAAGCGGCTCTCGTTATTTGCCCGGAGACAACTCTCCAGCCAAAGCAGCTCCGTGGCGAGCGCAGAAGACATGTACGACTATGACGAGGATGGCACGAGTGCCTCGACTGTGGAAGAGAACAAACCTATAGTGGTGGAAAATAACAAAACTGGTACCAAAATAACCCTGCAAACGCGCGAGATTAGCACGATTACAACACCCGAGAAGGAGCAAAGGAGCACACAGACTTGGGAGGAGCGACACAAAAAGAGCACTCAAACATCACTGGAGCGTAACGAACTCCTAAAAAAGCTTCCCTACATTAGCTCCGCTTTCGACCTTTCGATACGCCGACATGAACTGTTCGACAAATGGCGTTCCGTGTTCATCCCAAGGCGCAGAATCGAATCCAGCCATTCAGATATATCTGTGCAAAGTAAAGGTGCCAAACCGCCTTTCACACACACAGCCATCCGCCAGAAGAATCGCAACAACGCCCAGACGCCGCACCTGAAGAAGGTCAGCTTCGAGGACAAGTTCGTCAACACGGACATCGTGGTACCGAAGAAGGAGACCACCGACAAGGCCACCTCCCCCAAGCCTTTGACGCACGACAAGGCCACCAGCGTGGACTTGAGAATGCTTGACAAATCCACCCTGACGGACATGCCGATGGCCGACACCGCTTCCAACACCGACGCGGCCCCGCTGGAGTCGGAGCGCAAGAAACGCTCCGCCGGCAGCGACCTCAACTATTTCGAGCTGGTCACGCCCAGCGTGTGTTGCCCCACCAGATGCAAGTGGGATCGGTACGCCGATGACGTATTTTGTTGCAAGACCGACTGCAGAGTAAACGCCCGCTGCGTCCCGCCCCCTTACGCGCCCGATCCGTGCGCTAATCGACACACGCCGTCATGCACGACCGTCTGTTTGGACCCCCCAGCTTGTGCGCCGCCACGTTCGCATTTCGAGTCGCCGCCGTCACTGCGGCAATGCGTTAAGGCGACGACGAGTTCTTGTCGGAATTTATATTTGAAGTGTAAAGTAGGGGCTCAACGGATGACATCTCAATAAATGGTGATAAGAAGGATCAAGTAATAATTCTTGGTGTCATTTGGTTCTTGGTGGTTTAAAAAAAAAAATTTTTTTAAGGATAATATATATAATATATATATATCCATAGCAAGAACAAAAAGTGTATATAAACTGCATTTTTTTTAGAACCGACTTAAGAAAAAAAACAACACTATTTTGTGACTGTTGCCATGTGAAACATACTTTATTTGACAATATACTTTACAGGAGAGCAAAGATGACTAAACCATCACAAAGCTTACAGACAAAATATTGACGTTTAATTAAATCGAAATACATTTATAAATAATGACACCATAATGATCACAAACACACACACACACACACACACAGGATGAGGCGTGCCAGAGTTAGTGTCACCATATTATCCCCACCAGCAGTGGGTCTTGCCAGAAGATTTGTTACTTTGTTGCATCTTGTCAAAGACCTAACACATGCCACTAAAAAAAAACTATATCGTACTTTTGATTGCATTCACTCATTTAGAAAATGTCGTAAAAATGTATTGAAACATTTTAATACGTTTATTACGTTAATTTTTTGTATCAATTTTTTTTTTTCATTCATAAACGAGGTCTCTCTTGTTTTACATCACCAGGGAGGTGGTAAGTAGGGCTATCGTTTGATAAGACTGGAAATGGTTTGTATGTCAAGGACAAGGAATCGCTTGAGGCCCAAGTCGTAGCGGAATGATGTTAAATCAGCAAGTATGAATCCTTCTCAAGGGACATTACATGAGCAAAATTATAAACCTGACCAGCTGAGATTATTGTCCCTTTGGCGCGGAGATGCGAGCAGCTGCTTTGTTACAAGCCGAACAATAATGGAGAGAAAGGAAAACTTAGATCATGAGATACAGACTAAAAAATAGATCACACAATGGACAGGCAAAACAAAGAATCTTACTATAATCAAAGGACACACATGGCTAAGAATCTTACTGTAAACAATGGACAGGCACAGCTAAGAATCTTACAGAGATTACACAATGGACAGGCACAGCTAAGAATCTTACTATAATCAAAGGACAAACACGGCTAAGAATCTTACTGTAAACAATGGACAGGCACAGCTAAGAATCCTACTGTGATCAAAGGAAAAGCACAGCTAAGAAACATATGGTGATCAAACAAAGGACAAACACAGCTAAGGAACATACGGGGATCAAATGAAGGACAAACACAGCTAAGAAACATATAGTGATCAAACAAGGACAAACACAGCTAAGAAACATATGGTGATCAAAGTACAAACACAGCTAAGAAACATGGTTATCAAACAAAGGACAAAGACGGCTAAGAATCTTGCTGTGATAAAAAAAAAAAAAAAAAAAAAAAAAAAAAAAACAAACGGAACAAATATGAAAAAAATAAAAAAACAGAAAAGAAACAATGTTAACAAAAAAAAGAAAAAAAAGGCTAAGAAACTAGCAAAGAAAAAAAAAAAAAAAAAAAAAAGAAAAATAATCAAACTGATCAAATATGTTTGAGATGTTCAACATCATAAGGATTTAGAACATGCAAGAAGGAAAGAAAATCCTCAATGTAAATGACAAGGACTCGTACAGACTTAACGATGAACGCTCAGGAGAGAGCAAAGATATTGGAAGAGAAAAATCATATAAATTGTAGTCGTTAGACGGCCAGGAGGCCGAAATGACAGAAGAGCTACAGGGGTTGGAGTAAAGCACTGTGTATTTTTACGACAACGTATTGAGATGTTTTTATAAACAACACACATTTTTTTGTTAAAACACCAAAAGGGATCTTTGGTCAAGCACGGCTTAGCTCTCTACCATACATGTCAGATACGATAAGAAACCAGTAATTTTGTGTACGCTCTTGCTAAGCTTGAATAGTTAATATTTTGAGCTAATCGCTGTCCCTTTTCGGGCAATGTGCTGACTGAAATAATGAAAAGTGACAGATCACTAAACTTCATCTAGAAAAAAAAAAGTAAATTCAAATTAAAACTTATCGATAAATTAACTACAGTTGAGCTAGATGAAAAGGACTCTCAAAAGAACGGCAGTAAATTACCCAGGAACAGGGTGGCATATTTCGCCCTACCCCCCCCCCCCTAAACCATTCACTTACATCTCTTGACCACAAATTATCCATTATTAAAATAGCCAGCCCCATCCATTAAGAACATGTTTAGATTTTAAGATGTTACTGAAGCGTTACAACAAGATGTACTTCATTTGATGATAAATCTTGGTCTACTGTGTGGACATTTATAACCACTTCTTTGGGATATCTCTCGACTGACATCATTTCTGCTCATTTTTATCTGGTGGACTTTCTAATCCAAATTAATTATTTGTTGATTCATTTTATTGTTTAAAAATTTCGTATGTATAAGAGAGTTGAAATTAAAATAGCTTGAGACATTTTTTCATGGCACACCACATTTTGGCCACGGCTATCTTGCCCGCCCCCCTCTCCTCCTTTTGACAATGGGCGACGTTTCTCTGAAGAAGTCCCATTTGCAATTAACTCATTTTTGCATTGACTTTCTCATACCAAGCTTAAGAAATGCGTTAAGGTTTTAAACGTGCCCTGTTTCTTGTCGTATTTTCATTGGTCACGTTTGATGAGAAAAGCTCTTAGCCGAAACGTTCACATCTTATTGTCCTCTACTTTGATTCAAACTTCCACATAGCTTGTTCTGCTATTTCATACTAAGCAACGTGAAATTGACTTTTTTTTCATACAAGACAGCGTGACATTGACTTCCTCAAACAAGGCAGCGTGGCATTGGCTTTCTCGTGCAAGGCAGCGTAGCATTGGCTTTCTCACGCAAGGCAGCGTGACATTGACTTCTCACATAAGAGTCAACGGGCCATTTTTTTTTTTCATTGTCTGGTCACAAATTAAGAATTGAGCACAGAGGCAACTGCCCCTGTGGCATCCCATACGCTACGCCACTTTGATAGGTTCCCGAGCAAAAAAAGAGGCATGTGTCAAGCGAACCGAATAACCGTACCATCCTGTTGAAAGCTGCCAGATTCAAGTGAAGCCTTACTAAACTTTGAAGAGTTAAGTGACATTAGAACACTTTTATGACATTGCAACTTTTCAATGACATTTGCAATAAAAAAAATTAAAATGACATTTGCAACAGGCTTTAGACATCGCAGCAACAGCTTATTACATTGCAACAGATCTGTGGCATTATTTTGCAGTAGTTGATTTACATTTGCAACCTTTTTTTTTAGGACACTGCAGCAGTTAAGAAACAATGCCCTATTTTCTTTTTAGTGACGTTGCACCAATATTACATGGGATTGACCTAGATACAATTGTATATTTTCAAATTGGATTTGAGCAAGAATGTAAATCAAGTTAGCATTTGGTTTTTTTTTTTTTTTAAAATGGAGGTGAATTATTTCATATCATGTTTCCCTTTTTTTTCTTCTTTTTTTAAAATATGTTTTTTAATTACCAAAATTAAGTTAAGAGGCAAAACTTGTGTTTAAATTCACCAAATAAAACCAACAGCCCAGGAAGCAAAAACATTATAAAAAAAATCCAGACATCTTGAAACCCCAAAAATTAAACGTTTTTTTTGTTATTAATCTAGAGAAATGATGTGGGGCAATAACAAAATAATTAAAGCGAAGCCATTTTGAAAATTGTTAACTGGTAACACATTTGATAGCCCACTGTTACCAGGAAAATGTATACAGGGAAACGTGTACCAGGAAAATGTACATCAGGAAAACGTATACCAGGAAAATATATACCAGGAAATTGTATACCTATGATTTAGTCTGAACGGATAAATAACTTAATCTCCGTACCAATAAGTTTTTCAATTTATTTTTTATTATGGTCATTTAAAGAAAAAACAATATGACATGATTGTTTCCCCTTTATGCATCTTACAATAGGTCAGATTTTGGTTGGATGCCATAAACAGCAAAGCATTTTTATGCCTTTCAACCATACGAAAGATCAGGTTAAATTGTAATGCAAAATGATATTTAATATTTTTTTATTTAGTTTTTTAAAATATATTTTTTTAAATTTATTTATCACTCCAGTTAATTTTTGCGCTGTCCCAGCCTATGGTTTCTTTATGCAATGTGTTATCGTTAACAAGCCAGACGTGAAGAGGTTTGAAATACTGCAAGATGGCGTCCGCTGTGACCTGTCTACTTCCGGTCAAGTAATCGAGCTGATCTTGCCAGGGGATGCTGGAGCCCTGGCTCAGCATGTGTCTGAAGGAGTAGGAGCAGACGTTGAATGATAAATATATTGAGAAGAGTGGACACACAAAAGAGGCTAAGGTGGCCTTGAGTGAAAGAGTGCAAATTGATGTTAGTATTTTTTATAAATAAATTAACCCCACCCCCCTCCCCAACCAAAAAAAAATATAAAAAAAATTGAATCTTTATTTATTTAGAATACAGAGGAGTATAATCATTTTTTAAAGCATGTGAGATTTTTTTTTTACTCGCTAATTTGTGAGTGTGTTTGTGATGAGTGTGTCTGGGGTAGGTGGGGGGGGGGAGCAAGAAATGCACAACTGTCAAAAAAATTAGATTATATACCAAAAAAAAAAAGAAGAAAAAAATACAAAATTGTGCAATAAATTAATATTCAACTAATTATTTGTTCCCTCCTACCCACCCTTCTACCCACCCTTTTCCTATTTTGATCATTTATTTACGGAGGCCCTTTAACTTAATGTTTACTCACTTGAGTTTTTTGCCAGCTTCCCTCGAGCCGTAGAAGTCACACTCATGCAGAGGACCGTCATATCCGCTGATGTCACACAACGCTTTAAACATCTGGAACTGCTGGAAGTAGCTCACGAAGTAGCTGTCAGACGAAATAACAATGAATCGGATAAGCAGACATAATGCGTTCGATAAAAAAAGAAAAAAGAAAAGAAGAGACGGGGTAGTATAAATTGCATACAATAATGCTACAGAGAAGTGTGAGTTAAGTTTGGAGCTATTATAAACTAAACGTTTGGTTTATTTCTAACGTATGTTTTTACTGGTCAAGAAGTTCAATGTCAACGCTGATATCGGGGTAGCCATTGACTGGAGGGCACCGCTTTCTCCAAGGCAACACTGGTATAAGAACACTACTGAATTCAAGGCAATACTGATAGCAGGACTTTAGGGCACCACAATCGGCGGGGAAACAATTTTGTCAGGGAAACACTGTTGAACAGGAAACACCGTTATCAGCGAAACACCGTTATCAGAGAAACGCCGTTGTCAGGGAAACACCGTTGTCAGGGAAACACCGTTGTCAGGGAAACACCGTTGTCAGAGAAACACCGTCGTCGGGGAAACACCGTTATCAGAGAAACACCATTGTCATGGAAACGCTGCTGCCAGGGGAAAACATGCCAGGAAAACAACGTCGTCATGGAAACACGGTGGTCAGGGAAACACCGTTGTCGGGGAAACAACTCTCTCAAGGAATAAGTGACCGTACAGATCCCTATTGTTAAACCGAAAGCTAGAGATCTGGCGTCTCTAACAGAACTGCACTCACACACACTCTAAGGAAAGACGACAACATCACTTGTCAGGTACCTACCTGATGTAGGGCGAGTTACTGGTGATATGGTACTTGGCTCCAGGATCGAAGTTCTTTTCAGAGCGGGCCACCGGCGACCTTATCCCCTGATATTTTTATTTGGATTTAATTTAAAAAAAAAAAAAAAAAAAGAATTTATTAACATGTTCGCCATGGGCGTTAAGAGGATTTATTTGGGTCCGCGTCAAGGGAGATTTGGGAGTGGAGGGGGAGGCTTGAACTAACTATTGGAGGGAATGGCAGTGTTTTAGAGGGCAGACACATTTCTACATGATTATTTCCTAATGCTGGAAAAAAAATGTATTTGAATGTATAAAGACAAGAAGAAGAGGGTCGACTCTTGAAAACATCAACTGAAAACTGATCAATTTTCAAAGCTATAAGATTTAAAAAAATATTTAAAATATTAGGCATTGCATCAGGAGAGTATTATATTGGTGTGATAAGAATATTACAAATACAGATTTAAAAAAAATGTACCGAAGTTAACTTTTGAATTTTACACGTTTGAAAGTTCAAAGGTCGCAGCTAGTCATCTCCTCCCAAGGAGGAATACTGCATATTAAGCCTCAGTATAAATGTATGTTGATTAAATTAATCTTTTATACAAATAGAAACAACGCACGTGTTAATTGACACATGGTCCACATCCCAGGATGCACTGTGCGATTTAAATAGATCACGAAAAAAACAAAAACGACAACAACAAGGAAAACAAAAAACATAAATGAAATGTTAGCATCCCTGGCGGCAGACCGGCAGACCGGCAGTATAAACGCAGTGCTTCTAAATGTGTGCAAAGTGGACGTCGATAGATTGTGTGGCTATAACAGGGGTCTACAACAGCAATGTTTCTTGAAAGAGTTGCTCTTAAAATAGTGTGGGACTATAACCAGGAAACTAATTGTGGCGTCTATTTTAAATGTCGACGATATAATATCTACAATTTGTTGTTTTTTTTTTTTTTTTTTTTTTTTGGGGGGGGGGGGGGGGTGCAAATTTAACTTGGGATATGTGACGCCTACTTCCTCATAGATGATTTTTTTTTTTAAGATCTAAGAGGATGAATGACGTCAAATAGCACCAAAAGAGATGCGTCAAGTGAGTTGACTGCAGCTCCTGAGGCGGGAAAATTCTCAAAAACAAATGTGAAGTTTTATTATTTTTCAATTTATTATTTTCAAACCACCCCGTCTCTGCTGGAGGAATCTCTGGCACCTGACGGGCGATGCTAAACTACGAAGACAAGACGAGCTTTTCTTTCAAGGCAATCATCTTCTTTCAGTCAGAAACCACTGAGATAGAGTCGCAGGAGACACCGTTAGCGTCCGCTGAGTACAACATGTCATCGGTTTCGTGTCGGAGTTTTGCCCGCTGCCATGAACCAGTGACTTGGCAAGTAACATCTGCCACCCGGGGCGAAGCTTGAGTTTTGGCGTCCTCTTCCTAAAAATGAGACTGGGTGGCGTTTTTTTTTTTTGGTTGGGGGGAGGAGCGCTCTCCGTCTAATTTACCCCCACAACTTTTTCCCCCTATTTTCCCTATGCCTTTAAACATAAGAGCGTAATGTAAGAGATTTACTTGAGCCTTTCGTTGTCGAGTCCCGTCTGACCGAACATTCTAGGCTTGGTTGGCTCCGTGGCTCATTAAGGTTTGAACACAAACCTACGAGTGTGAGTTTCTTGCTTAGGAGTCGAAACACTTGAAAGCCCTACTACTGAGATCTTTGTTTTTTAGAGAAGCTTTGGCAATACAATTCGGTTTTAATTTTTTTTTTTTGTTTTTTACAGATATCAGGAGTTTTGGAGAACCCCCCCCCCCCTCGTAATTTGATGTCGCCTGACTTTGAAAAGCTACAGATCATGGCAGTGGCGTACCCAGGGTTAGTGCCATCCGGGGTGGACCAAGATTTTTGACACTCATTATCAATGAAAAAAGTTGGCCGAAAAAAATCTGTGTGTTTTTTGCAATCACTCTTGAAATATTAAAGCATTCGTTTGTTTGGCTAGTGGCTGCAGCCGGAGTCATGTCGAGTATCGCCCGCCGACGTGATCGAGTACCACTATTGTAAATGGCAATAAAAAATTAGTGGAGGAATTGGCCAAAGAATAATCGATAGGCCAATAACGTATGCGTTCCCCGCTCACCAACAGTACATTTTATTTAGCGAACTGAGCGTTCTGCTGTTGGGTATGTAAAATAGGTTGACTGGAAGCGAACAATTGGGCTGGTAGCTGCAAATTATCAGGAGTGGGAGAGGGGTGAAGAGGTGGGGGGGGGGGGGAGAAGAGGATTATGAAAGACGCAAGGAGATGCGAGGAAGGAGATATAAGGAAAGAGGAATCGACACAAAGAGAGGAAGAGTGAGAGAAAGAAATTAGTCTAGATCAATAGTTACGACACACAGAAAGTCTTTTTGAGTAAATGGAAAAACAGAAATTCAGAGGTAAACAGTAGAAACTGTAAGAAGAGGAGCTTGTCATGGATGGGTTCTACTCAGAGAAGTAGGTTGGTATATGTGTGTCCAAGATACAGGGAGCTTGTCATGGATGGGTTCTACTTAGAGAAGTAGGTTGGTATATGTGTGTCCAAGATACAGGGAGCTTGTCATGGATGGGTTCGACTTAGAGAAGTAGGTTGGTATATGTGTGTCCAAGATACAGGGAGCTTGTCATGGATGGGTTCGACTTAGAGAAGTAGGTTGGTATATGTGTGTCCAAGATACAGGGATTAAATGTGAGGGAGGGATGCAACTAGATCATGAAAAAAAAACCCTAGGGAGGGAGAAGAGAGAGAGAGAGAGATGGAGAGAGTATGTAAGAGTATGAAAGAAAGTGAGAGAGTAAGAGAGAGTGAGAGAAGATGGGAGAGAGGGGGAGAGAGTGTGAGAGTGAGGGTGAGAATGAGAGAGTGGGAGACAGAGCAGAAAATAATGGGTTTAGAGGGAGCAAAAGAGAGACGGCTGTTGTGAGAGCAATAGAAAGAAAGGTAGAAACAGAAAAGGAGAGAGAGAGAGAGAGAGAGAGAGAGAGAGAGAGAGAGAGAGAGACAAAACAGATTGTGTCAATGAAATTCACGGTGTCGATACTAAGAGAACAAAAAAATTTCCAGAATTATAAAAATATAATCATAAAATAAAATACAATTCACATCAAGTTGAAAATAATTTCTGTTAAAATCTCTAGTGAGCTAGTTCTTGAACCCTATGAAGAAAGAGCATTAGAGCAATGTCTTTAAAAATAATCATTCATAAGCATTTCATGAGCAAAGAGAAGTGGTGCAACTTTTAAAAAAATAAAATTATATGAAGTGATCCATGATATGTCATTTAGTATAATACATATATACAGAAATATTTATAAATTTAAATTAATTATGATTTTCTTTTTTCGTTTTTTTTTTTACCTCATTTCCCACCATTTTTGGTTGTAGTCATCTGGAGTTATCTTTCCTTTCATGACGTCCCATCTCCACATATCCACCAGCAGACCGAATGGAATGAAGGCCAGCTTTTCTAAGGCCATATTTAACAGGAAGTTGATTTTTGTTTCTGAGATAATAAAAAACATTTCAAAATTGACACGTGCAACGACCGAAAGGTTACAAAAAAATTGAACCATTGACAAAGTAAGACAATTAAACAGTCGAGTATTTAAACAATAAAGCTATGGACAATTGAAAAATTGAAATTTCAATAAACTAAAACAGTGAAACAATTGAAATATAGTAATAGAGAAATATAAAAAAATGGAAACTCTGGCAAAAAGAACAAAAAGAGTGAATCATTTAGCAATGAAAATGTTGAAACATAAACAAATTAAAATTTTTTAAAAATTTGAACATTGAAACTGTTACAGGGTCAGTAAGTGAACTTAACAAAAAGGAAAACACAAAACAACAAACAAAATAAATGGATTAATTAATCTTTTTTGAAAGGAAAAATAAACAAAGCACCATACAATCTAAGACTCATAACACCATTTTCCAACATGGCCACATAACATCAGCTATTTCTATCTCTTCTTATTCCCTCCCTTCGTTCTGCATAAGATCAAAATAGCCCCATTAAGATATACTGTTACATTAGCCATTATGTTAGAGTTACACAGAAACAGTCATAACGGCCAATCACAGCCATTAAGACAGTCATTGGTTAGCCATATCTGTCACTGACCTGTATGTGCACGTCTGTGCTTAGTGTATTCACAAGGTAACCTGAAGGACTTCCCACAACCTGACTCCTTACACTTGTACGGCCTTTCTCCTGTATGAAGCCTGTTGTGACATTTCAGCTCATACTTATTTTTGAAAGCTTTGGTGCACTTTGGGTACAGACAAGGAAATGGATAATCCCCTTCATGGAACTGGAGATGACGCTGGAAATGTTGAATATAATTAGGCTTGTTTGCAGATGCTGTTTCCACATGTGGTTCACCATTAGTAGGCATNGGGGGGGGGGGTGGGTGGGGGGGGGGGGGGGGGGGGGGGGGGTGGAGAGAATTTAGACAGGGGAGATAAGTGATGGAAACCAAAAGGTTGTGTTACTTCGTGAAATGAAAATGAAATGAAGGTAATTTTGTCTCCGTCGAAATGCGCAACTGTTCTGCTCGACTTACATGTAAAACAAAGAAACTATTTTTAAAAAATAATAAAAAATTGATATAGAAAATTGTGGCTCTAACCATATTAGTCACGCAATTTTTAAAAAATTTTAGGGGGGGGGGGGTGGTGGTGTATGGTTACAAATTTATGTATCGTTACGCCGCCAATTGGTTTTACTAAAAAAAATTTTCAAATCATCATGACAAGTAGTCTACTTTACCGCAAGATAACAAATACAACACATTTACAATGGGGAATTATAATTATAAAAAAAAAATATAAGCTTGTAGCATTATGCGTTTCAAAATAAAGAAGTGATGAAGTGTGAGGTGGTTTGGGGGGGGAGTCTTAGATAGTTAAGGAGGGTTTGTTTGATAGACTGGCTAAATTGAGGGGGAGGGGGAGGGAGAGGGGGGCATTTTAATGACAAAACAGCTCACGATATAGTGATATAATTGTGTTTGCTCTACAGTAAAAATTGATT